AGACTCATAAAATTGGTTCACAACTTCTCCTACCTCCTGCGACATATTAAATTATTAGTGTTGATAAGCTTAGCAATCAATGAAATTACTTAGTTTTAAAACGCTAACCCTGGCAAGTTGTTGTTCTAATTGTAATACCTCATTCTTGTTTTTTTCACTCATCCAACAAAAAGCCATCGAGTGAATTGTTGGACCGATCCGAATGAAAATCCTTATCTATTGCCACCTATAGAAACAATATCAATTGATTGTGTGGTTTTCGATAAAAATAAAAAAGGACTTAGTACGTCCAGTCCACGTCGATTAAAAAAAATGGTTCCTTTTAAAGTATATGGTTGACAGCTTTCGAATCTCCAATGTACTATATTAATATTATATATGTATGTATGTAGGTATATAAGTATATGTATAGTATATAAGTATATGTATAGTATATAAGTATATGTATACACATATACATATTTGAGAAGAATATCTGATATCCACAAATCTCAGTTTTATATACATATATATAAAAAAATGTATCGGGTGAACGCAGACTTTATTAGCTATGTGTACATATATGTATCTGTTTAGGGTTCTGAAACTTCTTTTTCAAAATAAGTTTTATTAACATTCAAAGTTACTGTTGGGATCTTATTTGATTACTCAGAAATACAGATTGCTATTTATTGATAATGAATTGTCAATATAGAATTTCGAGTTATTCCATAAAAAGGCTTAAATCAATTGAAATTAATATAGTTATTGCATTGGCCCGTAGAATACAAGTTAAATATGGGGTTTCTTCGAGGCTGCTAAGCTACTCTTTTTAATGTGTATAAATGCATGATTGAATATGTACATACATAGATTCATAAGCATGCACTTGTAGGAGTATCACTGGGCTTTTATTGTGTGTGCGTGTTTAGAATGTGAGTGTTTATTTAAGTAAATTATTGTTTCATTTATTTCTGTTTGTACGCATTTGCATTCGATGGAGCCACGAAACCATGCGCATAAGCAACAAAACTAACCAAAACTTCAATATTTTTCAAATAAGTATCAAACTTTTAGTATTTGCTGAAAAAGGGCGTTGGGATAAATTGACGAATTACTGTTATTCTAGAGAGCATGATTAATATGAAAACATAATTTCTAATTTATTCACTTTTTAATATACTATCATAATAATTTAATTACAAGGTGGTAGTTCCGGTTTTATATTTTCATACAGTAAAGGCCTGTCTGTTAATCCTTTCATAAAGTTTAATATCTATAATAAGACAGCTCTTTAAATTTGGACTTATCGTTCGAACAGTCTCATTTACATGAATTAACATATTGCGAAAATTATTCTGAACAGTTTGGTTTAAATATTGCATACAAACATTCTGTTATCATATTCCTTATCATACATTTCAACGCAAATAACCGGTGTAAATCTAATATGTATATTTATATACATATGTAGTCACGAGTGCATACATCAGCTATCATATATATAGGTATGTAGTATACTTCCTGATAATTAATGTACTAAATATATTTGAAATATCGAACCCCATACGATACTATGGGTCTTCTTTGTTGGACGGCTTCTGTTTAGTGGAAGCATGGTATAAAGGTCCATATGTGGGAATACATAGTCGAAATTATTTAAATTATATTAAAACTTTTAATTATCATTATTATTTTAACAATTTACTTCTTTTGACAATATTGTGTAATATAGATTGATACTCAAATTTTAAATAGGCTCTTATGATATCAATGATGAGGGACTAGTCCGTATAAAAGTATATAATCTGGTTCAAATAGAAAATAAATTTTAACTTATAGGTAGGTATAGATGGGGTCCTTCACTGGGTACAGTTTAGTGTCATTACTACGTAACATACTACGAAGCTAACAGCAAGCTAATATGTACATGCACATGTATGTATGTATGTACACATGTATATACCATACACACATAAGATTCGAAAAATAGTTCGAGTCGAGAGTAACGTTTTCGGTGGCCATACTACGTACGTTAGTCTCTATTTGACCAGCCAATTTATCGCACTTTTTATAGCTTATCTCAAAAACTTTCGTATGCCTACATTTATTTATGACCGTATAAACTTCTATGGCATGTAATGTAAACAATTATTGGGTGAAGATAACAGTATATGGTAGTTTGTTGTAAATTTTGTCGAGAATAACTTAGTCAAACAACAGAAAGAACTAGTAACGAAGTTCTAAGTTCGGGTATAACCGAACATTTTATACTCTCGCAACTCTCCGAGAAAATATCTTCAGATGTTGATAAAACTTTAAGCAAGTAAAGAAAAGCTAAGTCCGGATGTAAAAGAATATTTTATACTCTTGCAACTTGCAAGGATCAAAGCCGGGGAAATACCTTCCAGTGTTGGAAAAACTTTATGTTAAGAGATGCAGCGAAGGGGTTCAACTTCATTGTTCGACGAAATCGTGAATGGATTACAATCAAATTTGGTATATTATTAAGAGATAATATAACATATGTTATAGACTTTCTGAGTTGTATTACTATATTTTTCTTCGCGATAGCTAAAGTTATATTAAAATCATCTTCAAATGAGGTATACATACATATATATTGTACATATGTCATATAAACTCAACCGAAGGGGATAAATTGAATACGAGTACCATATATTGAGTTGATGTGGCAAAAGTCAACCAGAAAATCGGAATTTATGATAATAGGTATATGAGGTTTACATCAAGATCTACATAAACTCCAACTATTTTCAGCGCTAACCCATTAATAAAATTTTATAATTTTTATGAAAACTTGTCCACTTAATTTCATTAAAATATCACACATTTTGACCAACCTGAACCTGTCTGGGCTTGTTCTTGTGCCGGCATATTCGGCATAAGGTTTGTTAGAATAACATACACATAATAAAATCATTATACGTAGTACATGGGAGTTGGAGTAATTCGTAACCCAATTTTACATATTTTCGGCATTAAACTATAGTATATCCAATATTGTACGCTAAAGTAGGTATATGGGAGATTGCAATACTAGCCCTCTTTGGGTGGCAAAGAACATGTGTACTAAGTTTTATCAAGATATCTCAATTTTTACTCAAGTTATCGCTTGGGCGGACGGACATACAGACAGTCACTCGGAACTCCGAAGCAACATGTCGCAAGAGGGTAGAAATGTTGCATAAGAATTCAATATTCATTATGCGAGGAACCGTCAATGGATTACAAATTTTATTGAGGTACATATATTGCAGGTCATAAACACACTTAGTTTCATTACAATATTTTTCGTCGCATCCGAAATATTTATATTAAAATTGACATAATTTCAACCTGAGAATCGGAAATCATTATATTAGGGATGTGGTGTTTGGCCAAGGTGTATATATATATATGTTTATTCAAATTTAATGCTAAACCAAATTATAATTAATTAATGTACTGTTCCCAAGCAATTTTATGAAGATAACTCGCACATTGACCGATACAGAGTTTTCAATAATAACATAAATGATTATATATATTGTAACTATTTGCACATCGTCTGTGGGATATCAAAAGGATGCGTCCTCAATAAGTTCAGTTGATTTGCTTTAGAGGCTTTTGAGATATGTATTTAATTAAACCTGTTAGGGGATGGGACCACGCTACATATGCCCCTCACTACCTTGCTCTCGTCATCCTGATCATTTATATACTACTCTATATCTATCACGATTAGTTTTAGGTGTTATAAACAACCATTGTGTGAACAAAACTATTACAGTCTGCATTGGAACACAAACTGAATTTTGTTATACAGATTCTTAATTTAAATTTAGAGATCGACAGACTTTTCATTGATAAGTAATGCCGGCATGAACTCTGTAAAATTATCATTTAATAATTTCCTTGAAATCTTGCAGCAACCATCTAGAGACCGGTGTCACTAATGCTTCTGGACCAAAATACTGAGCTTAACCCTTTGCACTTGAGCGGCGCCCGGCCAATTTGAAGTGCCAACTCGAGCGGTGGTGTTTTGTAACTCGATCTCTTTATTTACGATGCGCGATAAGATATTATTCGCTGAAGTACTTTCCTGGGCTAGGTTCGGCAGACGTTGCAGCCAAATCTTAGCTCATTTCAGCTAGTCTTAGCGTAACATTCGTTTGAATCAGTTGTATAGTAGCTAAAATATGGAGAAAGATCAGATAAGTTCGAGTTCGGACAAATTCTTATTTGTTTATAAATTTTGTTTGCTCATAAATGTTTTTTTTTTTAAGTACCTGGTAAATATTGACCTAATTCGGCCGAAATCGTTTCGAGTTGCTGCTTCGCGCAAGCGAAAAAGGCCTCGAGTGCATTGGGTTAATTGTATGTAGCATTACTATACTTTTCTAGGTAACAAGCGATTTAGTATAGATAAACTTAATAGCGAAATAGTAGGCGAATATCTTCATTTTAGATCTTTATTACAATATTATTACCTTCCCATACATACATACATACATACATGTATATATCTACATATATTACCAGAGAAAAACAGTCAATGCCGACTTAAGAAATGCCAAGGCTGCGGCAACAAATTCACGCCTCCACTCAAATATGCCATGTTCCGCCAATGGTAATGAAAGAAGACATTTCAGAAATCAAATACGAATTTCTAATTTCATGATCGTATTTATAGCGCCATAATAAGTTATGTATGTACCATATGTCATTCTATTTATTTCCCAACTATGGTAAGATTTGTTGATTTCATTTCCGTTAATTTCAAATTTAGTTCAAATATTCCATGTGATGTATGTATATACATACATACATATGTGTATAGTTTGACTGCGAAGCATATACCGTAAAATCAAAAACAATGGACAAAATATATATGTACATACATAACAAGGTGAGAATGGTAATTTTGTTCAAGAAAATATGCAACGTTTTCGATGTAGATTATAATAATTAAAATGTTATGGAAAAATTAAATGCTTAAACTACGTCTGTGTATTTACCTTTGATTTAGTGACAATATTGGACGCCAACTTCACAACAGCAAAATTTCCTTTGCCAATCGTCTTCTCCAGCTCATAATAGCCAACACGCAGCAATTTATCTACAGAAATTTTACTTGTCGATGGAACTTTGTAGTTATCCGATATTGAGGCTGCCATCGCTGTGTGTGCGTTTACTATTTGTACTATTAACACCGTCGCCGCCTATACCCCACGCTCCCACAAACAATTGCAGTGATATATTTCAATGGCTGGGCTTATCGCCTAACAACTGCTGCCGTTGCTTCTCCTACCGAACCACTTTACAACTCTGTGAACAAATATGAAGGCTTGTCGGGGCCAGGAAGCTGGCTAGACCTGCTTCAATACCATTTGTGTGCGTACATTTTTAAGTTCCTGCTGCAGCTTGTTTACCTTGCTCCACACTGCTCATTAGTAATGCTGTGGTCGTACCGATGTTCTCTGACTGTCTCGCATAAGTAAGAGTACTGAGAGTCGTTGTAAAGTCGAGCTCAGGGTTTACAAATATGTATATGACTTTAATTCACTCGGGGGTAGTCGTTCCAACCATGAAGGAATGGAAAGGAAATGCTAATTTTTGTTAAATAGTGTTGTAAAGTAACTTTTCTACAGAAGGCGAAGTCAATGCTTTTGTTTTTGTTTTTGAGTTTATATGTATTGTTATTATTACGGCTACTGAATATAAAAATATATGTGTGTGTAGTTGTTTTATGCGTTAATTCATTAATAATATTAATTTTCCTAAATTGCCACAATTGTCGGGTAAGTGATAAGTTGACTTTGAGCTTGGACTCGACATAGGGTATGTACTCTATATGAATATTTACATCGCATTTTTTGTTTCTTCCAATGTCTGATCAAATAAAGTGACTGCGTTTGTAGTTCTACGATTCAGTATTATACGATGGTGCGCCAACTGTCTATCGCCAACGAGCTTGAGGTGACGTATAAGTGGCTTAGGAATTTACGTATGTATGTATATACCAATATACCAACCAATAAATAAATCATCTGGCGTTCGTCGTTTCTTCGAATACTCCCGCCGCCAACGAACAATCTCAGCTTTTTGACGGATAAACCTGCAGTGAGGAGCAAAGCGGTGGCATTCTGGTTATCACTAATTTGTGAGAAACGCGCAACGTTCACTTCATTTTACGAAATTTGCAGATCGTCGTTAACTGTAAATGAGTTACTATGTTTTTTGGAGAAGGCGTATTTGTGACCGACGACCGAACGAACTACCGAACTACTGAACTACTGAACGACTGAACGACGAACAACCGATTTATCAACAAACCACTTATGATACGTTCACTGTTGTTGTTTCCGATTTGATGTTGCTTGTTGCTGCTCGTATGATGCCGGCGTGGGCGGTGAGGTGTCTTGTTGTTATTCAGAATCAACAATTAGTCCGTATGTAGTGTATACCAGGAAAGCGAGGCAGAAAAAGCCGAACAAAAGATCACGGGATTGAATAGTTGTGTCGGCTATTTACTGATGTTGCAAATAACGAGGATGTCTCTTTATATGGTTGCTTTTGCTCTATGCACTGGTTAGTGGATGGCAATGCCGATGGCGATGGCACTGCCAAGAACAACAAACTCAAGCGCAACGTACATTAAGAAACCGCCAACAAATCTTCCATATTTTTTTTTCAGGGTCGCTACATGTGCTCTACATGCAGAAATTTGCGCAAAGGTTTAAAATTGAGGTTTTTAATGGATTATGGACCACCTTAAAACCCAAAACCATGGATTGATAATTTCCAATTTCAAAGGAAAAAATTTTATACGCCACTTTTGATAAATTTTGCTTTCATCTCAAATTATGTGTATGTATTCGAAATTTCTGAGCGGAACTAAAATTAACTGAAGGTTGACACTTACGGTGTATGGCGGGCAAACACACCCACGCGAGAGTGGATGCGCCTGGGAATGCTTCGTAAGAACGTTGAAGAGTGACTCACCGCCCAATCGTTTTAAACTTCTTCCGTAGAGGGTGTTTGGGTGTTTTATTAAAGTATTTGCGCTTTAAAGCCTACCTTGTAATTCTTTTGGTACACAGTTGTGGTCACGTGCTTTTACATTTTACATTTGTATGTACATACATATATATGTATGTATGTTCTTATGTATTTATGTAAATTTAAATTTAAATTTTTTTAATTTAACACACATATACTTGTACTTATGTATAAAAATGTATATGTAAGTGTATACTTGTGTATAAAAGTATACATATTTCACCAGCACTTCTTGCCATTACCTGCTTTGAGTATTTGTAAGTAGTTTACTAAATTGATTGTAAAAGCTTCAAGCTAAGTGGGTGGGTGTCGTGAAAGCTCAAAATTGACCGATTCACCGTGCTATAAATGAATTGAATTGATGTTAAAACTGCATGTATTTCCTCGATCGATGGGGGCTAGACACAAGAATAATAAAACAAAATTGGTAAATTCGTGATTTTTATTTATCGTGTTGCTACCTCGAGACTTTGACGTTACTACGGCCTTTCTCTCTCTGCTTAGTCCTAAATTCACAAGTCCAAATATTTGAATGGGTAAACCATCCTGATTAAGTTCAGTAAACAAAAGCACTGACCTGAATTATTTAGTTCCTAAGAAAAGTTAAAACAAAATTTTATATCCTGAGTAGCCTCACAACTCAAATCTAAATTTTAATATCTATATAAAAATGTATTTAAAATAATCTTATTTGATATAAGCTACACTTCCATTACGAACACAGATTTGTGTAATACATGTATGTGTATATGTAGCGCCTAAAAGTTACCCGTACTTATGTATGTACATATTTATATATAAACAAGTAAGGAAGGGCTAAGTTCGGATGTAACCGAACATTTTATACTCTCGCAAAGTCAAATGGTATACTCGTTTTAGATTTCTTTGTTGATCTTGCCGCCTTGTTCTATGTTGACCTATATTTTCGGTAAAAAGTCACTGGGGTCCACATATTCAGTACCTAGGGGCTTGAACAGTTTTGATTCGATTTAGACAATTTTTGGTCAAAAAGTGGCATACTTTAAACGTATTATTCACGCAAAGTTTTACGCCGATATAATCATTGTTGCTTGATTTGCATACTGGAAAGTGAAAACATCAGAAGGAATTTAAATGATCAAAATTTAATGACTCTGGCGTGTTTAGTGCTTGATATATCGCGGTTTTAGTAGTTTTTAACAGTACCGTTATATGGGGAGTGGGCGGGGTTGCTACCCGATTTCACCTATTTACACACCGCCGATAGAGATGCTAAAAACATTTGTTCTCAGCGAACTTTGTTATTATAGCTTTAGCAGTTTAGGAGATATGCACATTAAACCTATTACCACCTGATCATTTATATATATATATCCCTATATCTAACTCAATTAGTTTTAGGTGATACAAACCAACGTTAGGTGAACAAAACTATTATACTCTGTAGCAACAGGTTGCGAGAATATAATGATCACGATGACGAGATGAGTTGAAATCAGGGTGAGTGTCTATCCGTCCGTCTGTCCCTGCCACAATTGAGATAACCTAATGAAACTTTGTACACGTGTTCCTTCGCAAAAAAGAAATGCCAAACAAAACGCCATTAATCGAAAATCTATAAAATGCTAAGACTAAGCACAAAATAAAGATACAAACTTGTAATTTGCTATAGATAGATGCAGTAGCTAAAAATTGTGGGCAAAAAGTTTTTTTAAATGGGCGTGGCCCCGGCCTCTACTCGGTTTAATGTACATATATTCCAAGCCACTTAAACTACAATAACCAAATTCGCTTAGGACAAATCCTTTATGAGCTCGTACCTGAAATCGGATTATAACCCCGCCCTCCCCCATATAAGGGTTTTGTTAAAAACTACCCGATATGGTACGAGAGTGCTTTATAGGAGCCAGTGTCAAATTTGGACGAAGGGCGTACCACCGCCCATATTTAGGAGAAAATCCATATTTCGGGACCTACTAGACAAATTTCAACCAAATTCGGTATGTAATATTATCCTGACATTCCTAAATTACAGTGTGAAAATATTCGACACCACGCTCACTTCCCGTACAACCCAATTTTAAATTCCACCTGATTCTTTCACTTTTTAGTACACAAATTAAGAACCACTTAGTGTATCTAATGTAAATAATGTATTAATATTGTAATAAAACTTTGCACAAATGGTGCCCTCAAGGTTTTTCATCTTAAATCTAAAAACTGTCGAAATCGGACTATAAGTTTTCAAGAACCCAGACGCCAAATATGTGGACCCCAGTGCGTATACCGACTTTATGCCGAAAATATCGGTCAATCTGTGGGATATATTATAGAAATTCGGGGAAAATGTTTTTTTGGTAATAATATATTCTTATTAGTATATATGTACATATAATATATTCTTGACTTTATACCACAAAGACCAATGTTCTAGGTACTTTATTGAAATTGAGAGAGCGTGTTTTTCTAATTACAGTGTATCTTTGTGATAAAATGGATGAAATCGGGTGAAAACTTGCCTTAGCCCCATATAACTGATATTCACAATTTCGAAATGCCGGCTGAATTTACTCCATATACATGTTTTTATATGTATATATATTTATAAAATTGCTTGAAAATAAGTTCCCAAATATAACTGAGCAATGTCAAAAATTATTGCAATCAGCCCTTCCATTTTTCAGCCCCCTATGCTAATAAAACTAAGGGAGTGCAGGAACTTCAAAATAAGTTAATATGATACCAAATTTGATTGTAATCCATTCACGATTTCGTCGAACAATGTAGTTGAACCCTTTCGCCTTGCAACTTGCAAGAGTATGAAATGTTCGGTTACACCTGAACTTAGCCCTTCCTTACTTGTTTACATTTAAATTCACAGCAATCAGTCGCAATTGCTTTATACAAAGAGAAGATCTACAAGTATACATACATGCCACTGTATTTGTTTTATTTTATTCTATTTTCATATCCGATCTGTTTTTATTTGATAAAGCAAACTGCCTTCCCCACCACCTTCCTCCATATTACTAGAAATAACTGAACCAGCGCACAGCGCTCTCTATCGTCCGTAGCAGATTGAGAGAACTCAGTTGATTTGGGTGCACTACTTAGCTGAGCCTGTTATCGCCATAGAACAACAATTTCATTCTCTCTTTTGATAACATGTATAATAATGTTATCGCTTGGTTTAAAGCTATCACTACATGTTGTACAGAGGTGGTTTTAGTTTTATTCATTGTTTTATTCACCGACCGACCATTCGTAACAACTCATAATGTATAAGAATGATCAGAGTGATTATACGAATATATGTATGTAAAATACATACATACATACAGTGAACCAAAAATAATAATTGTACAGAGAAATGTTTTGAATTTAAAGGGACTTTTCGCTTAAACTATCTCAGCTTTTAAGCTGCAATCAAAAGTAAAAATAGGAAAATCTTATGTATTTTTCGTCTTTTAAAAAAATTGAGAGAACAAAAGTACTCACGAAATAAGCAATATTTAAAAAATACTATTGTTCAGTAATTATTCTTAAATTCAAAAAGACTTGTGGAGTTGGAAGAACGGAATATCACGGAACATCCCAAAATATTCGCTGTCGCTAACGCCAAGGAGTTGGGGGAAGCTGGCGTTGCAAAAACGCTCCCTCAAATTGTTCGGAACTTCTTACTTTCACCTGATATTAGAACGTATAAACCACGAAACAAGCCACAATTATCAAAGAGATACACTGCGAAACGTTTACTATATTCCAAAGAGTATATCCACAGCGATAACGAATTTTGGGATTCTATAATTTTTACAGATGAGTCCAAATTTAATTTATTTGGATCTGACGGCCCTCGATTTGTATGGCGTAAGACAGTCTAAGCGCTGAATGATACAAATTTGAATAACACTGTCAATCATGGTGGAGGCTGCGTTGTGTGGTGTGTGGTGCAATGGAAGCCAAAGAGGTGCAGTGGGAGCAAATGACGTCGGTAACCTTGTTTTCATCGAAGGAATTATGGACTTCGAGGCAATATTGAAAATAATTTGTCTCCACCAACAGATAAACTCAATTTAAATGGTGGCTACTGCTTTATTGAGGATAATGACCGGAAGCATTCTGCTTTAGTGGTTAAGGAATGATTGTTATACAACTTGAAAAAAGTTCTGACACATTCTCGCCAGAGTTCAGACCCAATAATCACCTGTGGGCCTATGTGGAGACGAAGTTACTAGAGGGCAAAGTCAATAGCAAAAATGAGGTTAGGGCTGCTCTTCAGGAATTATGGGCAAATATACCACCTGAACTTACACAAAATTTGGTGCATTCTATGAATAACATACTGCAAACCATGATAGAGATCAAAGGTGCACATAAAAAGTATTAACTTTTCTTAAAGAGTGTTAAAATGTCAATTTATGCAAACTATACAAGTATTTTTTTGGGCTTTGAAAATGGAGTTATTTTGGATTTTTTGGAGAAAACAGGATTTTTATGGATAAATTTCAATTTCATTATGAAAATTAATAAAACAGTTTTTTTCCCAGTTTGATACAACTCAAAAGTTTTAATAATTTAGAAGATAACTCACTTTAAAGACAAATCAGGTTCACAGTATATATTTCGCGATGCCTGCCTACTCTTGTTAGTATTCCTTTGCACTGTGAGAAGATTAGCATTGCAACATGTATATTTTTACATTACATTTACATTTCATATCTGACAATCTATTTGACCCAATTTAGCTAAGTAGAAAACTCCATACTGGTAGCATTTAAATTAGACATTAATTACCCGAGAGCCTTGACAAACTGATAAAACTAACCGAAACTCTTGCATGCGGGTGATCGTTCATCCCTTTTATAGGGCTTCTGTTGCAACGTGTGTATAGTGTTGTTTCCATAATAATTCCTTCAATGTATTGGATTTGCGGTAGTAGTGATTTGTTGGGTTATTTTCGTCCTTCCGCTTGGGTTCACATCTTATTTTACCACAGAAGTATAGAACGTAGTAAAGAGGTATATGTAAAATGTAATCAAATTGCGTAAATGGACAAAATCGGTTAGTATATCCCTCTCGGTCTCATACACCGAATATACTGATTTCTGACCATCTTGTTAATTTTATCTCAAATAATCGGCCAGTACGACGGCCTCGCCCGAACTTTTCCCTTGTTTACTCATTTTAGTTTTAGCCTTTCCCTTTGCTTCTTTGAGTTTTGTGCTGTTTATTTCTTATTACATTTTATTATACATATATTATGTATCTTGTGCCACACAGATACATTATGATATTTTCTATGTCGGTGATTCGCATACTGATTAGGTGTCCAAAGTATATACCATAATACACATGTGGCGATCACAGATATCACATTAGGATCAACCAGCGCTCGATTTCGCTCATTTCTATTTTCAACTCATTCCCAATTCCAAAAGACTATTCTTACAATAATTATTCATTTTTCTCTTTTAGACGTAAGACTTTCTTGCTCGGAAGTGGTTTGCCTTCAAGCTGTCGCATTTTCTTCCATATGTATAAGTACATTGAAACCAAATCACATCGGTTTTTACTTTGTTTGGACGTAAGGCTCCCTAAACCTGCTCTTCACTATATTCGTGCTTAAAAGCCCAGCTCGTAAATGCTTTTAAATAACCGTCGCACAAATGATTGTAAGTTCGAGTAGCAAAAGAGTTATCAAAGAACAGTGTAGGCCAAGAACTGAACGGAAATTTTCAAGAAGAACACACGATCATGTTGCGAAAATCTGTGAAAATTCCACTGAAGTCTTAAACAATAATCAAACTATATTAGAAAGACTTGTTTTTAACATTTTCTATAAGCAAAGATTCTTTATAATGAAATAAAATGGTACTAGTATATTTCAGCTGCGAAAGTGATTTCATTTGAAGGCGAACGTTTTGATGAAATAAAAAATATGCCAGTGATATCCTTTGTTTGCAGGTGGAAAGCAAAAAAGCTGCTTTCAAAAGCAGATACCTAATTATATATACATAAGTATAGATATATACAATAAATACATACATATGTATGTATATATTGTAAATCAACCGCAACAACAAACGGATTGAGGAAACGTTAGTAAGCAAACTAACAAATTCCATTACAATAATAAATGCAACAAAGCACTGTAATAATAACATTAACTGAGATGATAGACATTTTCGTTTCTTCCGCTCTTGTCATCAGCTCAATTAAATGATTGATAATTAAGCGTCATGCATTCAAAGTTAAATATATATGTAAATACATACATACATATGAATGTGATAACCCCACAATAGTACAATTAAGGAATTGAACGTGTGGTCCAATCATAATGAAGGCAACAACATTGCATTGAAATTAACGAAACAGTGATACGTTGGCGAGAGCAGCAGTGATGACGATGGCGGTGACTGCAACAAAGTACTGCAGCAATTATGTATCCAGTTAAACCTATGTATGTACGTTTTAGAAGTTCATTCACAAAATCTTTATACAACTTCAATGGCCTAGGAACCTGGTGGTAGGGAGGAGTTAAAAACATTCTAAGCTTATTAATAATCAACGTATGCTTTACCAATTCATAGCACCATTTCACTTTTGAAGCTTAAGTCTGAGCTTTTTACACACATTGACACGGAGATACATATAGCAATATATTTCGTACATTTCAAATGGTTTTTCCAGAATCTATGTTTTACGGCTGCGAATATATAAGTACGTCTTATATATGTATACAAACGTATTTTTTTAAAATAAATTTTGCTCTTTAACACCTTTGGCTGGAGTAAAGGTAAGTATGTGCACTTTTCACTCTATTTCGGCAGGTCACCGGTTTGGTTCTGGGAAATTGAAAGCGAATTAGCTTTCCACAAGTTGCATGTTATGAAAACAATTGGCACAATAATAACATTTTGCTTTGTTTAACGATACTACACAGAGTATATATGTATGTACATATGTACATGTGTTTATACCTATAAGCTGTATCATTTATATACGGATTTATATGTATATATGTTTTTTTATTTTTGCGTTTTGTATTTGTGCCCATGCAGATAGAGGAGGTCACGTCGCTGCCAACGAGAGTGGTACACGCTTACAATTCAGTCGTCAAAAACCAACTGAGGAGACTCCAACAGACCGCTCTGCTGGCGTACTAGTATGGTGCTCCATTCGGTAAACAGACACCGACGAGACGGCCAATACATATTATGTACATATACATAGGTGTAAGGCTATGCGAACGGGCGGAGGCGACGATGATGTTGTGAATATATCTAATTGTACATAAGGAGTATACATATTATGTACATATACATAGATGATGAAGACGACGACAACCAAGGAAAACAGCAAAAAATAACAATTGTAATCACTTTAATATGAGGTAGCAACAACAACATAAGAAAAATGAGAGCGACGACTTCGGCGATGACTTTGGGCGATTATCGTCACTGTGTTATTGCTGTCGACATTTACGACACAGGCTTGAGTAGTTTGGAGCGGAGGTGGCAAGAACGGCAGATAATGAGGAGATGGAGAATATGGTTGAGAATGAATGCGGTGTTGGCGCAGTTTGGAAGGGAAAAATCTGACGTACATATGTGACGAACGATATGGGGAACGCACGGTCACCGTTACCATTACGGATACTTTACAGATTGAGCAGTTTCCAAACCGACCGCTTCTTGTCACAAACTCCAAGCACTCAGTACCCACGGGTGTACTTAGCGCATCGGTATCTCCATCGGTCTGCCTACTTGCCTGACTGGCTCACTCTTACATACATATGTACATATGTACATACAAATACAGGTATGCATGAATCTTCTCTCCTCCTGTCTACGTAATTTTTCGTTATTCATATATTTATACGAGTTTCACGGTTTACTTCTTTTCTTTTATATGTACATGGGCCGCTGTATTGTAGCTGCCCTCGGTTGCACAGTTTGTGCTGTTTTTACATTTTTCCAATTACTGTATTTCTTGAATTATTTACATACTTTGAATACACATTTCTATGCAATTTCCCACTACAAATTTATTATTTTTGACACCGCACTTTTTTCTCTTTGACACTCTCACAATCTACATATATAACACTTTAATATCCACCAACACATATGTACGTAAAAATGTGATATACATATAGACGATAATATACTATAGAGTGCTTGTGAACCCTAGCTTTTTGTACGACGTCAAAGTTTTGAGATTAAGATCTTTACGTACACATACTTAATTTATTATATGTAATTTGAAATTTTAATTATTCCTTCAGTGGTTGTATTTCAACTAGAACAAAATATTTTTCCCGTCATATTATTTTGTACACAGACCGATATGGATACCGATGCGACAGCAAACGATATAATACGAGAGATTGACACCAAGTGAGAAAGATAGGAGCGGAGCGCTTATACCATTGCATGCCATTGTACTTAGGAAAGCTGTCAAAATGGAAAGGCGAAAATGGAATAAACAGGCAGCACTGTCTACATGGTTGCACGGATTGTACAATTCCAATTGGATTGTATTAGGAACTGATTAGGCAGAGATTATTAATGAATAGAGAAGACGAAAACATAGAATGTTAATGAATAGAGAAGGAGCAAATGTTAGCTGTACTAAAATGTAAATTATTATGAGGGAACATCGAAAACGCTCAAGTTCGAAAATGAAATTTCACCACCCTACAAGGGAACGCAACGAGTTACACCACTCTATGAGGGAACCAAGCAAAATGTATGCGCAGATGTTCTTTGGGACGTGTGTGAACAAAAATGTATCTATATACATTCATAAATACAAATTTTGTCATATCATTGAAATTGAAAACGCAAATCTAAATAGGTATGCGCATCAATAATTCATCTAAGAACATTCGTTGTGTATTTCTCCTTTTAAGAAGTAATATTTTTCGATGTTCCCTCATGTGAAACTGCAAATTAATACTCAAAAAGATTTCATTTAACATTTACGCCTTCTCTATTCATTAACATTCTCTGACCAGAGAATATCTGACCAGAGAACTTAAAACAAAAAAACAAAATTGTTTTAAGTTCTCTGATCTGACATATTTATGTTCATAATTTTAAATGTTAATGCATTACAAATTAATTATGTTACGTAACGAATTTTCGCTAGGGCAACACTTAGAATCATTACTAAAGAGTCCTTAGCAGGACCCGCATATTTGAACACTCCCTCTTATCAATATAATAAAGCAAAAATTTACTTGTACATCATACATGTGTACATATGTGTGTACGTATGTTTATATGTATGTGTGTATTTCCGTTGCAATTGGCTCTCTCCCGTTGTGTAATTTTCCGAGAGTGCTTTGACGTCACGCACTCCAATGTGAAATTAGTAAAATATTCATACAAGTATATGTACATATGTACATACATACATACGTGTGTTATTCTATGCAACTACTAATGCTATTGGGCCTGCATATCTAGTACAATGTGCCGTTTCACACAGGGACTCAAAAGAGTCTCATACCAGTTTATTGTGGGCGAGGGGACGACGAGGAAAGACGAAGGGACCGTGCCACTCGTGTTCGGGTGGCACGCTTTGTGTTCTTGTTCGCAACAGCTCGCTGCTACCCTTTTCAGCACTCCTTTTCACTTTCAAATTCTTTGAATGGTTGCAAGAGCGCTCGGTTTCAAATGAATTCGATCGCAAATTTGAGTTCTGTTATCTATTTTTGTATGTAATATCAGAGAATGTTGATGAATAGAGAAGGAGCAAATGTTAGCAGTACTAAAATGTTAATTGCTAAGAAGGAACATCGAAAACGCTCAAGTTCGAAAATGAAATTTCACCACCCTACAAGGGAACGCAACGAGTTACACCACTCTATGAGGGAACCAAGCAAAATGTATGCGCAGATGTTCTTTGGGACGTGTGTGAACAAAAATGTATCTATATACATTCATAAATACAAATTTTGTCATATCATTGAAATTGAAAACGCAAATCTAAATAGGTATGCGCATCAATAATTCATTTAAGAACATTCGTTGTGTGTATTTCTCCTTTTAAGAAGTAATATTTTTCGATGTTCCCTCTTGTGGAATTACAAATTAGTACTCAAAAAGTTTTCATTTAACATTTGCTCCTTCTCTACTCTTCAACATTCTCTGGTAATATGCAAATACGTATGCATAGAATAATAGAAATATTATGACAAATTGTAAATAATTAGAAAATTAAGATATAGATTATGGAGTAAAGAAATTATGAATTTTTAATACTGAGTAAAGAAATTATGAGTTTTTAATACTTAAAGATTAGGAAATTCCTATTATAAATTTGGCCTTGAAAATATTAGTAGCGGATATTCAATACATTCTTGTGGATTAGGAAATTCCCGTCTTTAGTATTTCTTTGAAACTATTTAGCGGGTAGGTACTTGTATTATGCATATTGTTCTACCATATTCATGGTAATTCATTGCAAGCAAAATGTGTGACCATCATCTCAACATACAAATGAAATACGCAGCACGCAGTGTTGCGCAGTCGAACCGCACAAATATTTACGAAAATTTTGTGAAAAGGAATGCAGAAAAACTAGACTCGAGTTGCTGGACTCTTTTTGGCCGTGTGAATGCCCAGAGCGACACCAAAAGAAAATTTGAAAAACATCAGACTCTTTTGAATCCCAATGTGAAACGGCACAATGTGATTTAACTGATTTTGGTATCATTTGGAATATATGCCTTGAAGAATTGTGTCCCTAATATTTAGCTCTAGTAATTATTATTTCTTCATTCACAACAACACATTACCTGCATTTTGTTTGCTCTGATGCAATAGATTTCAAATACACAATTTTAAAATTACCAGTAATCTCCATAATAAAAGTGTTTTCTTTTTTTCTGTTTTCGGCCCGACTTTTTTAATGAAATGGTAAAAATTTAGTTAACAATCCTTAGAATTCATACAATTTCTTGTACTTTATTTCTATTTGTTGGATTTATTTACAATACTGGCTTACATAACTGAAGTAAATGGTTTGTTGGGTTGTTGGCAGTCTCTAGTCACGATATATGCATGTGAATTCTACACAAATACATATAATATAATGCACTCGCTTACTCAGTGCCATAAGTTGAGATATATAACTTCATTTAGCATACTTTCAGGCTAAATACTTCAACTTGAGGATGTGCGACATGATTTCCTATTATGAACTTTCGGAAGAGGAAATATTGCATAAAATGTCGCATTGCAAAATGTTATTAGGTTTACCCCACATACTTTAAAATTAAATTCTTTTGGCCTTCAAGTGTTTTAAAATTTTAATGTATTGAATTAAATAGTGTTTCGGCGGATAAGAATCGATAAAGACCAATGAGGAAGAATGCACAATAATCAGATAGATTAGACCCTTCCACCCGGACAATATGGTGATATTTTAAATTTATCTAAAGTGTAAATTTTTCAGACATAACTTTATTTCCGTTCATTCCTCAGAACTGTTCAAACACTTCAGGCTTAGCATGCAATATCGTTCCAAACAATCTTACACCTCAATACAATTGTAAAATATCAAAAAAAAATTGGCATGTCACATATCAAAACATTTTTATTTCGCCAGACACTTTTCGTTTGCTATTCGGCAATTGAACTACGTCACTGACAATATTTATTTGTTTTTTCAAAACTTCGAATCTATGCCAATCGTATAACTGCGCCTTAGAATATACGCAGACTCCAGTTTTTGCTACTCTAAATTAGTGTCTACATTCGCCATGCTAGGGGAGATTTCCATTCATGCATTAGGATATACGAACCTACCCAAGTGTTCTGTTGTTTCATTCAATATTCGAAAAACTTGCTGTACTTGCAGAATACAGTTGTTCGTACATATGCACGACGGTTCGTTTGGTTTTGCTTATATACTTTCTGTTTAACTAATTTTATCATTTGGTCTACAATGTACATTAACGGCTTTTCGCTCAACGTATTTATTTTTTGTGCTCACACATACGCATTTACACATATACGTCCAGCATACACAACAAATATTTGGCACTCCGCACGTTTTTGGGCTCTCTTTGTTGACGCACGTGGGCGCTGCGCAAAATTACATACTCATATACAAGTGAATTATGCCGACAAGTGGACCAAATTGACGGGAGTTGGAGTTGAACGTGCCCATTCGTGTGCAAATTTCGTATTAGTGAGATGCCCTCGGGGTAGCCATTCAGCTCGCACGAAGCCAACACAGCATCGTAATTTATACATTTCATTGATTCTCTCCTTTAACTGTTCGTTTCGCCTACGTAGACGTTACTGTTGGCTGCTGCGTGTGTCTGTTTCATTCAATTCGTTTTACGTAAGAACTCTATGGGTTTACCTGTAAACGGGAAGTTTGACATTCGGCTAAGAGAACAGTACATAAGCTGTTGTATGACTGTGTTTGTATACTTCGTGAATGTACAAGCAATATATGTATATAGAGTGAAATAAACCAAGTCTCCTACTCATTTTTGACTCCTTCATTCATTATTCGGTAAGCTTCCCGCTTACTTCTCCCTCATTTGCGTCATCATCGCATTTATTGAGCTTTTATGAATGAATTTTTCTGTTAAAATCGTTATTGGTGTTCTTATATACCGCTGCTTTACGTTTCTCTTTGTTCATATTGTTATATGGATTTTTATTCTTCCCCAAAGGAGACCTTTTAAAAAAAGGAGGTGATAAAGTTGATAGAGAGCTAATTTTAAACGTAAAATGTTTGACGCTTTTCACCATGGTAACTTGACTCCAGTTTAAGAGATATTCGGAGAGCTAAGATTGGGTAAATTTGCGGTTATATAAATATAGAACATTTCGCCAGAGAATGTAAATGAAATAATCTTTTACGTGTCTGTTTTTACTTGCTGACAACGATCACTGTAGTTATATTGCTGTGCTTTCCTTCCCTGATTGCCCAAATACCGCACTTACGGTCAAAGTGCTAGATATCTCAATGAAATAAATATTTAAATAATATGATTTTATACTAAAAATAAATATAGTTTAAAAAAAACTAATAAGCACGCTTTTTAAGGACTTCAAACTAAAAAGTGTGAAATAATTCATTATATAAACTGACAGAAATATTAACCGAAAAATATGGCACAAACCATCCCACCCTATCTCAATTTATATATCGCTTTCACAGAAAAAGTTACTAACTTACATACATACAAACATACATACACACAAACATACAGGTGAAGCCAATAAAAGCGTTATATTGACTGATATCTGTGCATACCTTCCAGTCCTCCAGTACTAATATGATGAGTATTATTACTGTTGTCTGTTAATCAGATAGACTTTTAAGATATTTCGGAGTGAAATTGAAAATAAATAAAAACGTCCTCTATTGCTGCAGTGATTGCAGCCTTCTCCGTGGACGAAACCTACAATAAAATTATCTACTAAATAACATTGTCTGTACAATGAAAAACAATATATTTGCGGTTTTTGTTCTGCTAAAATTGGATTTTTGATCAGATGAAAAAACTGGTAGATTATTGTATGGAGAAGTATACTCGTATATTTATATAAAGAA